CCTCAGGTCTGGGCTGAGATGCCTTCTGAGCCCTGCCTGGAGATATCCTTGCCAGATCCATGGAGGGGCCACCCTCTTGCTGCGGATCCCCGGCCATGGGAACCCCAAGGGGTGGTGGCAGCTCCCCAGGGGCCACATCCTGCTTGTCCTCAAGGGCCCTGTAGTCTCCTCATCTGTACAGAGCGGGGGCGGGGTGGCTGAGTGCTCAGAGCTGCAGACATGCCTTCCATCCTCTCTGGGCTTCTCTGCCTTGGTCAGATATGGAGGGCAGGGAGGGGACTGCAGGAGGGCACGAGATGCCCACCCGCCCCCAATTCACAGGAAACTCAGGGCTCGGGCAGCTGGAGGGACCAGGGATCCTGATGGGGAGAGAATCAGCCCAAGCTTTTGGTGGCAAATCTCTCACTTCCAGGGCTGAGTCTGGGCCAGAGGACCCCGAACCCTGAAGGTGAGTCCTCCCATTTCCCTGGACCCGTGTCTCATTTGAGCCCAGGGAACTTGATCGGGGCGAGGTGGGGGCACTGGGATTCTAGAGTGACACTGGTGAAACCTGGAAGGGCTCCTGAGCTGAGCTGGGGAGTGAGGGGTGGGGAGATCCTGGGACTCAGCCTCTGACTTCCTTCCAGGGACCTTCCACAAACTCACCGTCTGGGCTGACCCTCTTTTGGGCAGTTTCAAGGTGCCCGTGTGAATACACCGTATGCAGAGTTGGAATGTACAAGTGAGTACATAGTCCATCAGGGAGTATGCTGCAGTTGGCCTGCAGTATTTGGAGATGGAAATGGCAATGCATTCCAGTATTCCTGCCTGGAGAACTCCATGGACAGAGAAGCCTGGCAGGCTACAGTCCACAGGGTCGCAATGCGTCAGACACGTCTGAGGGACTAACACTATTCTCAAGGCTCTGAACTTGAAAGGTACAACACTTTTCCATACTTATAGAGATAAAAAGTTGCAGAACAGACAGAACCTTTTGTCTTCTTGGGGGCTTAAAGGGACATTATGATCAGACCTGCATGCACAGTTGTGAGAACAAAGGATTCCACCATTTAAAGTTTTCCACAGTGGAGTGGGCGTAAGTATACCTATGGCTGATCCGTGTTGATGTATGGTAGAAGGCACCACAGTATTGTAATTGTCCTTCAATTAAAAATAAATAAATTATGGGAGAAAAAGCTTGCAAGAGGACTTCCCTGGTGGCCCAATGGCTGGGAATGTGCCTGCCTATGTAGGGGACACTGGCTCAATCTCCAGAGCAGGAAGGTTCCACGTGCCTCAGGGCAGTTAAGCCCGTGGGCCACAAGCCCATGTACGTAGATCGGGTGCTCCACAACAAGAGAAGCCACGGTGATGAGAGACCCTGCACACAACAAAGAGCAGCCCCCACTTCCCACAACTAGAGAAAGCCTGTGCCCAGTGACAGAGACCCAGCACAGCCATTAATTAATTAAACAAAAGTTTGCAATAACCAGTCACATCTCCTCCCCTTTTAGAGAGTGTGTGTGTGTGTGTGTGTGTGTGTGTGTGAAAGTGTGAGTTCACAGGTGGGTATTTAATGTATTGTTTTCTCTTCTTGGAATTTTCTTCCCCATGGGCTAGGGTTGTTTTATATTCATTAAATACTGTTTGACAATCCCTATCCCCCGAAAAAAGCTCGTCTAAGTCAGGTAAGATAATTCTTTGGGGCATGAGTTCACTATCTTGTTGGTTGGCTGGCTTTCCAAATAAAGTCACTATTCCTTGCCCAAAGACCTCATCACCTTGTCCTATGACAAAAAACATGAGGTTGGACTCAGAGCACATTCATGAGATTGGAGGAGATGTCATTCATTTTAGACAAAATCCATATGTGCCACTCTCACAATTCATATCTGTGGTTTAAAGGAAGATACGCAGATGGCCAACAGGCATATGAAAAGATGCTCAGCATTGCTCATTAGTAGAGAAAGGCCAACTGACACTGTGATGAGGTACCACCTCATACCGATCAGAATGGCCATCATTATCATGAATGATTAATAATAATTAAACAGCTGATGAATAATAGATGCTGGAAAGCGTGTGGAGAAGAGGGAAACCCTCTTACACAGTTGGGGGAGTGTAAGCTGGTTCAGCTACTGTGGAAAACAATATGGAAGTTCCTCAAAAAAAGTAAAAACAGAGTTTCCATATGATCCAACAATTCCAATCCCGAGCATATACCTGTAAAAAAAAACTATACTTTGAAAAGATTCATGCACCTCTGTTCATAGCAGCACAACATACAATAGCTAAGACATGGGAACAGCCTAAATGTCCATTGACAGATAAATGGATAAAGAGGATGTGGTATATGTCTAAACACACTCACAATGGAATACTACTCAGACATATAAAAAATTAAGTCATGAGATTTGCAGCAGCGTGGATGGACCTGGAGATTAACATAGTAAGTGAAGTAAGGAAGAAAGACAAAGACAATTTTCATATGATATCACTCATATATGGAATCTATCAGTGCAACAGGAACAGACTCAGACATAGAGCTTGTGGTTGCTAAGCGGGAGGGAAGGATTGGGAGCTTGGGGTTAGCAGATGAAGTCTATTTATACATAAAATGGATAAACAATGAGGTCCTACAGCATGGCACAGGGGATTCTATTCAGTATCTTGCTGTAAATCATAATGTAAAAGAATACATTTGTCAAGCTGAATCAATTTGCTGCACAGAAGACATGAACTATACTTCAATAAATTTTTTTAATTTAAAAAAATTTGCAGTTTATATATCTGCAATGAAATATTACATGGCAGTAATAATGCACAAACTGAAACAACAAAGAATACAGATCAATTTTGAAGCATGATATTAAGTAAATAAAAGGAAATTTTAAGAACCCCGACTGTACTCACACTCCATTACATACATAATAATCAAGAGGAGACCAGATTTATTACTTAGGAAGCATAACTAATCTAACCATCCCCACTCCTAGCAAATTGGAGCAGAATCACAAGCCCTTACTGAGGCTCTGTCATGTCCATGAACAAATGCTGCCCTGGGTGTGTGTCTGCCCTTGGAATCCTGAAAAAACTGGAAAATTTTGTCCTGGTTTGGAACTGATTGTTGAGGACACGTCCCTCACTCAAGCATTCTGGAGCTTGGAAGTCTCTACTTTACACATTTTTATGTAGAAAGCAAGGTTGTCCACCTTTTCTGGCAAAACAATTCCACCCCCCCAAAAAAACCCCACAATCATCTTACACACATATTTTGTGTGTGTACACTTGTGGTCCTTGGATTGGAAAGGAAGAGAGACAGAGAGAGTGTGTGTGTGCAAAGTTTCCACTCATAGTCAGGAAATAATTTCAGATAAAAAGAATAGTCAGGGGAAGACAAATATCACATGATATCGCTTATTGGTGACATCTAAGAAAATGAACTTATTTACAAAACAGGTTCACAGAGAATGAACTTATGGTTACCAGGTGGGATGGTGGGTGCGGGGAGGGATAGATTGGCAGTTTGGCTTTGACATATACACACGGCTATACTTAAAATGGATGACCAACAAGGACCTACAGGATAGCACAGGGAACTCTGCTTAATATTCCGTAACTAGCTAAGTGGGAAAAGAATTTGAAAAGCAATAGATGCATGTCTGTGTATAACTGAATCACCTTGCTATATGCCTGACACTAACGGTTAGTTTCTTAATAACTTATACTCCACCTCAGAATTTTTACAAAATGTTCAAAGAGCCATAATATGCATGTCTCCTTCTCTAATGAAAATACAGAATCAAAGTCTCTATTAATGAGTCCTTAATTGGCAACCTGCACTGAGCCTGAAATATGAAGTTGGCACCTGTGATTTTTCTTCTGCAAAGAGTTAAGGGTAATGATATTTATCATGAGCTTGGGGAAAGCATCCTGCCTGGTATATACTGGATTTATTCAGAAGGGCTATATTTCTTATGAAGATCATCTTTTAAAGCATTTTCATTTTATCAGGGCAACATACCATCTCCTAAGTAAAATCATGAGGGGATTATTGGAATTATTGGACATTCTGATTGAGGATACATATTAATTATAGCTGTTTTCTCTGCACTGAACCCCATGATTTGTTTTATAGAGAATGAGTAACAACATGTCAACCAGGAACATGAATTCCAGGTACATGATTGAAAAAAAATTCTTTTAAATTCAGGAACAGAGAGGCCTTAGAAATCTTTGCTGAAAATAAATCAGTGTGGTTTTTTTTTTTTTCTCCTGTGGTTACCATTACACAGTAAGCAGTTAGTAACCCTGCACTTTTTTTTTTTTTTTTGGCTGGGCTTCATGGCTTGGGGGATCTCATCTTAGTTCCCCAACCAGTGATTGAACCTGGGCGTTCAGCAGTGAAATCAGGGAGTAGCCACTGGATCACCAGGGAATTCCCAGACCTGCACAACTGAAGTAGAACTCGTCATCAAGAGAAGGAAAGGAACTGAGTCAGTCTTTCTTCAAACAAGATATTCATAGAAACTAAGCCTCTCAGGTGTTAAAGAATCTGCCTGCAAACCAGGAGACCTGGGTTTGATGCCTGGGTCGGGAAAATCCCCTGGAGAAGGAAATGGTAACCCACTCCAGTATTCTTGCATAGGCAGTCACAAGGACAGAGGAGCCCGGTGGGATGCAGTCCATGGGGTCACAGGGGTCGGACACCACTTTGCAACTAAACTACCACCACCAAAATGGTATACACTGACACCGTTACTACTTCCTGAGGCAGCAAGACCTGTTCAAATCCTCCTACGTCCACAGTGTTTAGGGAATAAAAACTGACGCTCAGGTCATGAGGTGACCTCAGTGATGAGGCTCAGGTCAGCCTTCCATCCCTGGCATGAGAAGAGGCTGCCCGTCTTCCCCTGTGACATGCACCAGGCTGACTGTATGAACAACACCGCCCGCCTTCCGCATCCTGTGACTCGATCAGCTTTGCTCAGTCCTGCCTCCTGACTCACAGAAGCAGAGCCATGTGCCCCACACTCCTCAGCCTCCTGAGTCTAGGTGAGTCTGGAAAGACCCGGTAGGAGAGGTTTATGGTGGAAATCGGGGGTCTCCACACCACTGACAAGCTTCCCTGGCTGAGGGTGCAGGGAGCGTGGGGCCCATCGGGACAAGCCATCTCTGACGGGCTTTTCCTTCTAGGATTCTGTGTGAGTCTGAGCATCTGGGCAGCTGTGGGTGAGTCCTCCCCATCCCTTGTTTCTGTGTTCAGCAGAGCAGGCGGGGCTGAGGCAGATGACACTGGGGGGCAGGGTGAGACCCCTGTCAGTACAGTGAGAGCTGAGTGCCCTGTGGACCCCAAGTCCTCCATTTGGCCTTGATACTCATCTTCACTCTCCACAGAGGTTAGCCCGGCTCTGGAGTCTGGACCTGAAGGCACAGTGTGAAGTCTGGGAGCTGGGCCCCCTGAGGGCCATTTGTATGATGAGAGGGGAGCAAGGGGCTGCAGCCCACAGACCCCTCTCCAACAAGGTGGCTCGTGGCCTCTCCAACAAGCCCTTCACAATAGGATCTGCAGGACCGCCCACTAGACCTGACCCCAGGGTAGGGGCTGGGCATCAGGCAGGGCCACCTGGACCTTGTCCCACATTTGATGGAGGCTAGCTAACAAAGGAGCAAGGTCATGGTTTCCTTCCTTCTTTTCAGTCAGGTGGCTTTTTCTCTTCTTAGTTGTGTTACTGTTAGTCACTCTGTCGTGTCTGACTCTTTCTGACCCCATGGTCTGTAACTCACCAGGCTCCTCTGTCCATGGGATTCTCCAGGCAAGAATACTGGAGGGGGTTGCCATTTCCTTGCCCAGGGGATCTTGCCAGCTGAGATTGTACCCTGCTCTCCTGCATTGCAGGAATATTCTGTACCGTTTGAGCTGCAACAAATGCAAGAGGGAAGTCCTTTCACTTCTTTTCCATGCATCAATTTCTCTATGGTGTTTTCTTTAGCCTGCATCGTGCAGCTTGAAGGATCTTAGTTCCCTGATCAGGGATCAACCTGGGCCCTTGGCAGAGAATGTGCTGAGTCCTAATCACTGGACAACCAGGGAATCCCCAGTGTTTTGTGTTTTGAGAGAAAGGTTCTCAAAATTTTGTCAACCCAAGGAATGATTCTTCGACTGAGAAGAATCACTTCTGAGAATCATATTTTTAGAGTCTCCATGATGTCCATCCTGGGTTGACTGTGTCTCTGTCTGTCCCCAAGCCCTAGTTATCTTTGAGCATCAAGGTGATGCAGTTTAGGGGAGGAGAGTTGGAAGAATTGAAGGGGACGCGCCCATGAGGGCAGGGGGTGAGAGGAGACTGTTCCTATTTTCCTCTCAAAGCCTGTGCCTCCATCTCTCCTAGGTGAATATGAGAAGCACTCTTTGTCAGCATGGCCAAGCCCCGTGGTTCCCTTAGGACACACTGTGACTCTTCGGTGTCACCTCCGTTCTCCACTTGAGATATTCAAACTGTTCAAAAAACATGGGACCAGTTTGCCCGAGCTCCAGGGACTTCATGTCAACACCTTCACCCTTGGCCCGGTGACCAGAGATCATGCCAGGTCCTACACATGTTCTGTAGCCTACTCGTCTGCACACAGTGACCCCGTGCAGATTGTGGTCACAGGTAGGAGGGGTCCAGCCAGCCTGGGATGGCCGAGCCTGCAGGCAATCCTACCCTACCACATGCCAGTGCACCCAAAGCTACTCAGGATTCCCAGCCAGGAGTGAACCAGTGAAAGAGAGTTTAAACTCAGGATGCTGAATAGATGGATGGGGTGCCCCAGCGCAGGAAGGAGGAGCATCCCTCGGCATTAGTTAGATAGGATGCAGTCACTGCCTGCCAGTAGAGAGGATGGGAACGACCCTGATCCAGCATCTGCCACCCAGCAGGGAGCTGTAGGCCCCTGTGAAGGAGCTGGAGCCCCAGGGAGGAGTCTCAAAAACGTCTCCAGAGGCATGACGTGGGGTCACAGGTGGGTTCCTTTTTTCCTCCACTGCCTTCCCAATGATGCCAGTCATCACCCACGTTATAAGAGATGTATGTGAAGGGAGACAGGGTATGCATCCTCAGAACCACCCCAGCCCCTCAAATGCAAATTAGGGATGGAAAGAGGCTGAGAGCATGGCAACCCACTCCAGTATTCTTGCTTGGAGACTCTCATGGACAGAGGAGCCTGGCGGGCTACAGTACATGGGGTCCTGCAGAGTCAGAAACAAGTGAAGAGACTGAGTATGCATGCATGAAGCTGAGAGCAGATTCAACAGCTAAAGAGTTTAGAATAAACACAGAGGAGGCTGGAGGTCTTGAGCAAAGAGAAAGAGAAAAGCATGAGCCAGAGTCTGAGAACAAGTCTAGAGAGAATGTCACAGAACAGAGAGGAAGGGTAATTGGCTTTGGTGGTTCACGGGGACATTTTTCACACCTTCAGATGTCAGGGGAAGCGCCGAGGCGGGGTGACTCACTGAAGCTCAGAACCTCTTTGCTCCTAGGTGTGTTCACAAAACCCGCCATCTCAGCCCATCCAGGCCCCCTCGTGCAGGAGGGAAGGAATGTGACCCTTCACTGTCAATCACAGCTGTTGTTTGACAAGTTTATCCTGCACCAGGAAAACAGCACATGGCATTTCCAGACATGTGGAGAGATGCTCCCGGGTGGGAATACCTCAGCTGACTTCTTCTTTGGCCCCGTGACTTTGGCGAGAGCGGGCACCTACCGATGCTACGGCTCTCTCAGCCGCTCCCCCTATGAGTGGTCAGCCCCCAGTGACCCCGTGGACATCGTTATCACAGATGACTGTGTCCAGACCAGTCCCTTCTGCTGTCTGTGTCACAGAAGGTCTGGTGTCCAGTCTAGCATCAGTACTGGGAGACAATGACAGGCGTGCAGAGAAACACACTCAGGAGAGGGAACAAACCAGAGAGGAGGTGTGAACACGGAAGGGAAAGAGAACAGAGCACCTGAAATGGGGTAAAGAGAAGACACGGCCGGTGACAGAGTGAAGCAGCAAGAACGTGAAAGAACGAGCAACGGAGAAGGATGCACCAGAGCAGGGACCCGGGCAGTTCCCAGCTCAGGCAGCCAGCGCTGGTTGGTTAAGGGGCTGGCTTCCCGCCTTCATGTCAGAGCTCCCTTCCTCTGTCAGGAGCACTGTGGTACCAGACGCCCTTGTAGTCCGGCCGTTGGGTGATTGAGATAGAGGTCGACACCTTGAAGTTGCTCAGCCTTGTGGTTTAACACATCCTTCTGCATAAAGAGGAAGGAGTTCTCCCTGCCAACCCTCCCCACTAAAGAGTCCCTTCCAGCCCCTGGGGGTGGGCAGGGCTGCCCTGAACACTCCCTCCAGTTTGAAGTGGTCAAAGATCCAATGAGATGCTGGCAAGTTCCAGGCCATAATGTCTGTTTCTGGGTCAATACCATGTTTTGTGTTGGTCCCAGCAGAACCTAGTAGGTTCCATCTTTCAAGAGAACCCCACATCTTGTTGATTTTTAAAGTATATTTTTTCTTATTTATTCTTGTTGAAGTCTAGTTGATTTACAATGTTGCTAATCCCTGTTGTAGATAAGACTGATTCAGTTGTTCATATACATACATTTCTTCAGAGAAAGGATATTAAATGACAGTCCATTATGAAAGTTATGTTTGAATTTTTCCCTGTGCTGGGTGTTCGTTGCTGTGGGGCTTTCTCTCCTGGTGGTGGGCGGGCTTCTCATGCAGTGCTTCTCTTGTTGCACACTGCGGGCTCTAATCCTATATTTAGGACTTGAGTTACTCAATGCTCTAAGATCAAGGTCTTCCTTCCAGGTCTGTCCAAGAAACCCTCTCTCTCAGCCCAGCAGGGGGCCGTGGGTCAGGAGAGAATGTGACCTTGCTCTGCAGCTTTGAGGTCGCCATTGACCAGTTCCATCTGCTCAGGGAGGGGGAGAACCTTGGGCGCCCGCTCACTGGAGGGCGGGTCCCCCGGGGAGCACTCCAGGCTGAGTTCCCTCTGGGTCCTGGGACCCCAGCCCACAGGGGGTCTACAGGTGCTACGGCTCCTTCACTCACTCTCCCTAGGCCTGGTCAGACCCCAGCGACCCCCTGCTCCTGTCTGTCACAGGTGAGGACCCTCCTCCTGGCCCAGCTTTCTTGTTGCTCTTCAGTCGCTATGTTGTGTCCAACTCTTTGTAACCCCGTGGGCTGCAGCTCGACAGACTCCTCTGTCCGTCACTATCTCCCCTTCATTGATCACAGCCTTGTCGTGATGAAGGTGCTTGTGTAACTCAATGAAGCTATGAGCCATGTCATGCAGGGCCACCCAGGACAGAATCGTCATAGTGAAGAGTTCTGACAAAAGCTGGTCCCCTGAAGGAGGAAACAGCAACCCACAGCAGTATTCCTGTTTCTAGAACCCCAAGAAGTGTCCCGTGCTTTACAATGCACTAAGTCACATTGCATTGGCCAAGCAGTCCTTTTGGCCTTTTCCACAAGATCTGACTCTATCACTGAGCTCCAGCTCAAGGGCACTGTGCTGCTCTCAGGGAGCCTTAGGGCTTCTGGAGAAATGGAGGCAGTGAGAACCAGAGAGGAGGAGACATGGTCAGGGGCATCTCAACCCTCTTCCACCTCCTGTATGGATGCTTCTCATCAGAGTCCTGTCTATCCAGGCAAATAAAGAGGAGTGTCAGGTTAGACCCAGGAGGAGGAGAGGCTGGGCTGATTTGGGAGGATCAGAGATTGCATTGGGCCCTTGCCCTTAATGTTTTCCCACAGGCACCTCTGACATACAGGTGATTTCCCAATTAAGGAGCATAGATGCTCAGTCCTGGAGCAGAAATCATGTCTCTTGCTTACAGCTATCTTTCATCGTCAGGCATACTCTTCCCGCCTCCTTCCACCATCTCTTCTCCAGGATGGTGGGTGTACTCAACGCATTCACGGGGAGGAACTAGAAGCTCCCCCCTCCCCCATCAGTGCTCTGAGGGATCACAGAGTCAAGGACAGGCAGACTGTTCCAGAAAGAACAGTCCTCCTTTGGTGGGGTG